TAGTTAAATGTTTATTATTTCAGATCATAAGGCCGTAACAACAAGTACACGTGTGCAAGGAAACAGGAAAAGCCATAGGAAGCTGTCATTTTTAGACCTGATGTGAAACACACATAATAAATAAAGCATATCCTCTAAGCTCTATGTTATTCTTCCTTTTTCTGTCATCAGGTCCTACCAGTCTTTTACATAGTTTAGTAGCATTATTTAATTGGCATTTTTTCAAAAAATGTTGGGTCATTGGATAGAAAGCTTTGAATCAGTCTGGATGTCATAGTAAACCATGGTTTATATTGATGGGGAAAATAATTGGTCTCAACCCGATCTTGTTCCCTCTGCCTCTCTAGCGTGTCCACCAGGGGATTAGGAGCCATCACTTCTGTCTTTGATCAACTCCAGTTTACCATTTTAAACCGTAACTAAGGAACTCTAATTAACTTTATCCTATCTTCAAACAAAAAATAGTCATATCGAATTATTTGAATCTAGATTTCTTCAAACAAACCATAGCTGTAGTTTTTTTTCTTTAAAAAGAAAGGTATATTAAGCAGGACTTGGCTTAGGAAAAAAGAAAGTAAGGGGGGTATAAAATTAGGCATGGTGCGGAGAAGGTATGTATTATTTGATAATATAATTTTACTAGAGCCATGATCATGCATGGACACTAAATGGTGGATGATACAGTATACCAGGCATGGGAAACTTGGGCTCTCCAGGTGTTTTGGACTTCAATTCCCAGAATTCCTAACAGCCTCAGGCCCCTTTCTTTTCCTTCTCATACACTTAAGGTTATGTCTGTAGTATACAAAGAAAAATAGGCAAATCTTAGCACAATGTATAGTTAAGCCATGTAACTAATTGGCATATGGTTGCCAATTTCAATGTATTTAAAACAGAACTGGGTAAATATATAGATAGTAGCGTCATTGCCTCCAATCGTTTGAGGGAGAGTGAGGTGGTAAGTACAGGTTTCTCATAGGTAATTGGCAAATGCATGAACAGCACGTTGGACTAGGGAGGTCTGTGGTATAATTCATCATTGCTGCTTCTGCTGCCATCATCATTGTCTTTATTTGTTCTCTTCCCTTTTTCTCCAAATTGGAACTCAAGGTAATTTAGAGAGTAAAATGCATACAGTATAGCTAAAAGCATGTAAAAGATCAACATTATATAGAATGAAATAGTTAAAAAGCTTAGAACAATTTTAAAAAATATATAAAACAATTTATACCATGTCCTCATTAAGTGTTGCAAAATGGGGTTGGTTGGGAGACTAAGAAAGTCGCAGAGCCTGTTAGAAGTGACAGAGGTAAGGAACCGTGTATTCAAAAACGGGTTCTCAATCCTCTATAGCTAACCACCTTGTGGATACCTGTTGAACTGGAAGGTGCCTCTGGAGATTAAAAAAAATCAAATAATGATTGTGGCGAACCTTAAATGCTACAAAGAAGTTGGTTTTGCATAATCCAAGCAGCAGCAGGCTTCATTCAGTGCCATCACAGGCTTCAGTTCAGCAGGGGGGAAGAAAACAAGAAGCTGTGCTGAAAGTGTAAAATACAAAGAATTAGATAAACAACAGAAAATATTTCCCACATGTCTGATATACAGAAAGTCCCAGAGTTACAAACATCTGACTCATAGTTAAGAATGGAGATGAGACACCAGGAAGTGAGAGAAATCTACCCCTAGAAGGAAAATTTACTCCTGAAAATTTACTCCCATGGGGAAAAGGTGTCTCCACTCAAGCTTTATCACCAATCCTTGTTTCCACAGGAAGCCACATTTTTAAAATCCAATGCTCACAGGGACAGCAATGGTACAATTGCAACACAGATCTTTAGTATTCTACAGAACAGTGGTCTCATTGTGTTGTCTTCTGTGGTTGTCAGGGCCTCTGTCAATTTTGGGAACAGTTTAATTATCATCTGGGAAAAGTAGAATGCAACTCTCATATAGTGCATAATTGTGAGGATTTTTGTTTTGTTTTGATGTAGAAGTATAGTGAATTTAAATTATCAACCAAGAAGACAGTGTGTCTAGTTTTCTTTGAGTTTGTAGAAGCAGAGCACAAAGAAGTCCTTCAGGTTACCTCTTCCCGCTTTTGTGTTTTTTATATTGTGTTGGGAATATACTTCTTTCCAAAAAGGCAAAAAAGATGTGAAGATTGTACAGGCAGCTCTTGGTGAGGAGGAATGCAACATCTCCCTCTTTGTTTTGTTTACTTTTTGCTCAATCTGATGGTAATCTTTAAGGAACTGGAATATAATAATGTAAACTCTATATAACTTCATGGTTTCATTCAAAATTGAAGAGAATAAAGGTCAAATTATGTGAAAAAACAGCCCAACATGTGGATCTAACAAAGAAAATGCAAAACTTGTAACTCATCAATATGGTGCACTGAATGTTTGGATAAATTGCATGATGTTGAAACATCCCCTCTTAAAAAGACAACTGTCAGTACTTTCCCTTCACAATGACATGAAGCAGGCAGATTTCAAGATGGTTGCAACAGCATTCTGCAGTTGAGATTGACAAGCTCTATGCTGACAGTTGTGTCTTAAAGCAAATAAGGGAAGATACTATTTCTGTGACCCCTTGTGAGACTGTTTTATGACATAATTATGGATGATAGCATTCTGAAGGCCAGGTGAAACTGAACATTAACATGGCCTGTGCTTAATTACTAAATGTCTTTAAAACGATTTGCCAAAAACAGCAAGATGCCAGCTTAAGTATAAGTATAAAAAGTAGGAAATGGGCCAAGCTGCTCCAGGTTGAGGATATAACTCATTTCAAGTATTTTAGTATTAAGATGTCATGCTGACCGCCTAACTACTACAAAGTGGCAATACTAGGAAGGGGGACTTCAGCTGACATGCCAACTGCACCCTTCCTGAAATAGGAAGCTCTAGAGATGGTTGTACATAAGCTGATAACCTCAAGGCTGGACTTCAGCAATGTGCTACATATTGGCCTACCTCTGAACCAAGTTCAGAAACTCCAGTTAGTTCAAAACATGGCAGTCAAATTAATTATGGAGTGATGACATTGCACTCATAATAAAGTTACTTTACTGGTTGCCAAATAGTTTCTGGGCAAGTACAAAATGTTGGTTCTACATGGTTTGAGTCCAGGTTGTTGGGGGAAGTGGGCTTTTTAACAAAAGACCCTCCTCATAAATGTATAGCAAAGTAACTTATTAGCAGCATCGTGACCCAGCACCAGTAACCCAAAGTGATAAGAACAAAAAACACACAGACGAATGTTATCTCTTCCATAGGAGACTTTTTCTTCATAGTAAAATAATATAGTTGCACTACTTACAAAAACAAGGTTTCCATAACACAAATAAAGTTCAACCTTCACAATGGAGTTTCACATACAAGGCCTTCTTGAACCGAGGCCTACCTCACACTGAGGCCTTGCCGAGTCATTGCATCCCTTTAGTGCTTGACTCACATTTCTGTAATTAGAAATACCTAGTTAATTTTTAATATTTGTGACAGAGGTTTCCTGCAGTATTGCTTTCTCCTGTACAGTCAACCCCATGCATTCAGGTCCTGTATTCTAGGCAACATTTACTTCAACAAGACTAGACTAGTGACTTTCACCCAAAGGACCATTACAATTTAAATTGACATTTTAAAATTTGTGTATGGATAATTTTAATGTGTGATGCTTTGTGTTTTAGTCTTATGTTTGTGTGTTTTTAATCTATGTATTTTGAACGATTCATATGTTTTTAGTTATCAATTGTCTTTTAAACTATATTGTATCCGTCCTTAAACTTTAGTGAGAGGTGAGTAAGAAATAAATTGCTGTTGTTGAGGAATGAACACACTTAAGAAAGTGACAAAAATGTCTTCTGGTAATAATTGCTTTTACAAACTTTTTTGGGTTTACTTACGATACTTTAAAAAATACTCTTTGTTTAAAAGTTTTCATATTTGTTTATATAATTATAACAAAATGTCATACAGAAAGTGCACAGAGAAGTCTGTAAAAACAAAAACAATGTACGATAAACAAAATAAATGAAACAGGCTGTGCTCTCTGGCTTGTAAAGTCTGATTTTCTAAGTGTGGGTTTAAAAAGTAAAGGCAGATTAAATGGGTGGAAATTAAGCCTGGTAAAGCAACATGTAGAAATTCAATCTCAGTTGAAAAGATCTTCAGGAATTTCCCCTGCCAGCATTGGCAGCCCTAGTGAGGAATGATCAAGTGGGTGGAACCATTATTTCTGCCTCTCCAGCATCTTTATCAGTTTACAAGATGTCCCTGTTTTGTTAGAATAACTTGTCAAGGCTTCTTTACCAAGTAAAGATGTTAGAAACCATAAAGGTGAAGAAAAGTGACAATGTACAAGTCACAGGTGTACACTTTGTCTCAGATGTTACTTCTGGCATTAGTTAAGAAGGTCTAGACAGATAGCAATACAAGCAAAGGCCATTTCGATTCTTTGTTAAATGTTAATGTGGCTATCCCTAAATATATTTGTTGACAAGGGGCATGTACTTCTTGTTCTCCTTGTTGCATAGATTTTCTGTCATATGGCTTGAATTATTTTCTCACAACTTGCCATTTTGACAATGCCAGTAGATTGTTTTTGCTTGTTATGAATATGCTGGTTTCTTAAAACTTCTGGTTTGCACATTTAGGTCACTAAAGGTTGAAGCACACATTCTACTAAGAAACGATTGAAGTGGGGGTTGTACATTTGTCTTGCCATGGTTTTCTTAGAAACAATCTCCTTTTTTTTAAGATAAAGTGAATTGCTTTTTAATAGGTTCTCTGTTTTAAATTGTATTGGTATTAAATTACTAAGAAGATACGTTCAACAGATGGAATCTTTATTCAGTAGCAGAAACCAGTAATTGCTTTCGGTCATTCTTTCTTTTAAATGGAAATGTAAAATTGGTTTTAAATGGAAATGTGAAAAATTGTCACAATTGCTCGGTGCTTTTTAACTTTTGTTCATGAAATATTCTTCTGTTTTAGGGATCTGCAGACCCTCTGAACAGTGCTTTCCATTTGACGTACAACATGGTATTAAATTTGCTGCGTGTGGAAGAAATTAACCCAGAATACATGCTAGAAAAATCTTTTTACCAGTTCCAACATTACAGAGCAATTCCAGGAGTTGTTGAAAGTAAGTTATGTAAAAATATTTTATTTTTTGTTTACTATTGTGTGTATTGCAACAGCTCACTTGTAATATAATCTGGAGAGCAAGCGAACTTGTTCTTAATTAATGACTATTATTAAAAATATCTAAAGAGCCAGGAAACACATATGTTTACTCCTCCCCCTGAAAACATACCCTCCACTCTTGCCAATTGCAAACTGCTATTTGAAAGTGCCTCACTTTCTGATTATATTTACAATCTCGTTTATATACACGTGTGTTATATGTCAATGCCTTTTGAGTATGTAGAACTAGTCACAGAGTTTGCTGGCTCCATGGTCAGTGAGCACAACTGGATGCGTTTCCAAATAACTAGCTTAACTTATACTGAAGTTAAAAGAAGCATTTTTCAGTTGAAATTAAATCTCAAGTAGAAATAAGAGGAATAAATAACTTCGACATTATTGCAGTTTGCACAACAAGGATCTATGATCCCAAGTGTTGTATTAACTCTGCATGTTAGATAAAATAAATAAACTTTATTTATACCCTACCACCATCTCCCAGAGGACTCGGGACAGCTTACAAAGCACTCAAAGGTGCAAACACATAAAATACAAAAATTGCAAAAACAATAACAGCTAACATAAATGTCTCACTTCACAAAACCCTCTGGTTAAAATCAGTAAGATACAGTAGTAGCTGCATGTATAAAGCAGTAATAATGAATCTCAGTCATGTAAAGTGCTTGGTGAAATCTATGGGTCCTCACGTATATTAATTAAAGGAATCTAAATACAATCAAAGACTTGTTGAAAAACCATATCTTCAGTTGTGTGCAGAAGGCTTGAAGAGCGGGGGCTAGTCTGATCTCCCTCAGGAGGGCATTCCAGAGACAGGAGGCCCACCACCGAGAAGGCCCTCTCTCTCGTCCCCACCAACCATATTTGAGACAGAGGTGGGACCGAGAGGAGGACCTCCCCAGTAGATCTTAATGCCCGTGCCAGTTCATAGAAAGACATGCAGTCACAATGATAGGCTGGACCTGAAGCGTATATGCTGCTCTTTTTGATCCTTTAAGGACACTCACTTCGGTGTACACAACTCCTGAGAAGGAATACGATGCTATTTTGCTAGGAACAAGTGGATGACCCATGGTTCCATGCTACTAGCACAGTTTAACTCAGGCATGGGCAAACTTCAGCCCTCCAGGTGTTTGGACTTCCAATTCCCACAACCCCGGCTGTTAGGAATTGTGAGAGTTGAAGTACAAAACACCTGGAGGGCCAAAGTTTGCCCATGACTGCTTAAAGTGTCATGTATGAAAAGGTCCTTGGAAATCAGTATCAAATGTTGGATAACAAAATTATTCTTACAACTTTGTGCTTTCTGGATGCAACACCAAGAAGAGTCTTTGGGGACCATAAAGGATCCTTGTTCTATTTTCCCCTTGCATTCATTCTGGTGCCACACTGAGCCATTCCTTGAAACAAGGCTCTCTAAGCTATGATGTTCCTTTTGAAAAGAAAAGCCACAGAAGTTTTCTATAGCACAGTATTTCATGATATCAAAGTGATATCATCACTTTTGCACACTATTTTTCACACCATTCACTGTTTCACATTTCTTTTTTCTTTTGGTAGAGGTGACTAAGTTGGAACAGCAGTACAATGAAATTGAAATTCCAAATGAGGAAAATGTTGTCATATACTATAAAATCAGGCAACAGCTTGCTAAACTGGGTAAAGAAATAGAAGAATACATTCATAAGCCAAAATACTGCTTACCATTTTTACAGCCAGGAAGACTAGTAAAGGTAAGTTGCTTTCATTCATTTCTGAAATGTCTTCTCTGCTTTAAAAAAAAGCGTAACTTTTTAAACTGCCTTTCCTAGAGGCTATCCATGCTGTCACATGTATTTGTATTGTCAAATTTAACATGCAACTAAGAAAACATTAATTATAGGATTTTGATTAAGTAACAATAATTTCAGTATTTATTAATCTGCAAGTTAGGTTTACCCATGTCATTCTCTTGATGTATCTGGATCTGTTAGCAGAAGCAGGAAGAGAGTGGCTCCCCTTCGCTCCTTCAGACTCTGCTTACCTTCAGTTTTGGGGCTGTGAAATAAGCTTGTGGGAGGGAAGAGAAATATCATTTGGTTGTGATCGTGGATTTCCTCTGGTGCAATGCTGGATTTGACATTCAGTCTAGATTCAACTATCTGCTTATTAAAATTAACTGCTGCAACCAACACTAGAACAATCAGAAAGTAGTGATATGCCAGATGTAGATATGATTCCGCAAGTTTATCAAACAGCAGAAATATCTCTTCTCATTATGTGGAGGAAAGGGTATAGAGAACCTCCAAAGATTGATTATGTTTCTAAGGCTCAAAATAGGTTTCTGAATGTTGTGGTTATATTTTCAATGGCTTTGTCTAATGCCTTTTCTCTGTTTCATGTTCATTTAAAATATATCTGTTGTTAACTGTGTTTTCAGAACTATTATTTGTGTCATCTTTTTTGTTCATCTTTTTTGTTCATCCTTTCTTGGGGACAGAGTACAACCTGTAGTGTTCTGGAATTGCACTATGTAGCACAGTAATGCGGTATGCTTTCAAATCACTGATCTGCATATTGCTATTTTGCATCCAGTACATTTATAAAAGAACATTGTTACTTTTATATTATAACTGTTTTGACTGAAGTAGTAAAATCCTATTAATTATCTAACATATTTTGACAAACTTATATGATCTTTGAATAAGTATCTAAGTCCTTTCCATATTTTGTTAGTGTTCCTGTGAGACTCTCTGTCTCGCAACTGGATGAGAATTCCTCTTATGCTGATTGGTAGAAATAGTGTCATGTGATGAGAACTTGGGAAAGTTGGACTCTGATTGCACGCCAAGTTTTGCAGAAGCTCAGAATCTGTACACTTTAATAACATTACAACATTACTTAAATGTTTTCTTTCATTTCAGCTCTATTATATAACGTTATTTTTAATTTTTCCCCCTTAGGTGCAAAATGAAGATGATGATTTTGGCTGGGGAGTGGTGGTAAATTTCTCCAAGAAGTCAAATGTGAAGGTAAACGAAAAGCGCTAAAGTTTTTTCAAGTGGTGTGAAATACATATCAAAGATATGATAATACAAAATTACATACTGGTTCTTACAGAGAACTTGTATCTCTTGTAGACAAGCTTTCACAGATGCTCTGATTTTTAGGAGCATCGTTTGTGGCTCCTTGTATATCTTTTTAAAGTAGGACTCAATTTAAATTCAATCATGTGATTACTGTTGTTGTTACTTCTAATTATTGCAGGGATAAGGGGCTTGGTTCTGTATACAACTACATTGTGCATGTCCCATGGAAAGTCAATGTGACTTTCAAGCTCTGTTTTGGATGTGTATTAAATGCATCACAACAGGCACTGCATAGGTGGAAATAAACTGGATGGAAAAGGCTGTTTCTGCCCTGGAAATTCTTAGACAAGAGAAAAATGAAACTTTTCCCTTTTTAAAAGTTTCAACCTGAAGTAGTGGAAGAACTGGCTCAATTTGTCTAAGAATAACTGTTTCCCTCCCTACATTTCTATAAGGTTGTTATTGGGAACACATGCTAATTTCTTTTTTGTTCATGAAATACATATTTTCTGCTATTAGTAGAAATTAGTAGACTCCCCTTTGGGGGGTTTCTGCATTAGATACTTGGCTACCTGTCTAGAATGCATCTAGTGAGGATGATGTAATCCAGCCCCAGTTGCTTTGTGTACCCTTAGAGTATTTTATGCATATGTCAGCCTCTTCCAAGTTCAAGTAAACAGCACATGTTTTTAAATGTTGGCCTAAAGCTGATTTTCCACATATGGACTGCATTTTCAAATGCAGTTCAGATGACACAAATAAACATACGGCTTTAAACCTAAACCAAAACAGCTGCTGTAAGTATCTTTCGTGCAGCATAGAATGGGGCAGTATTATTCACAACTGTTTTTATGAATAAATACTTTGATTATTGGGTAATCTAATAGGGGAACAAGGCATGTGTTTCTGTTTACATCTGGGCATTTTAAAGTTATCTGTGATACAGTGTGAAATTCTTATATCTTCCAACTGGTATGCCTTGTTGAGAAAAGCTTTCCCTCAAAAGAGAGTAACCCACAATTGTCTTTATGCTTTTTGAAGATATTTTCTAATTTAATCCTTTGTGAAAGAACTTGTGCTATACCTTTACATATGTGTGTGTGTATACACACACACACACACACAGGGCCCCCTGGTGGCGCAGTAGGTTAAACCATTGAACTGCTGAACTTGCTGACCGAAAGGTTGGCAGTTTGAATCTGGGAAGCGGGGTGAGCTACCACTGTTAGGCCCAGCTTCTACCAACCTAGCAGTTCGAAAACATGCAAATGTGAATATGTCTATGGACAATGCCAGCTCTTCATCTTAGAAATGGAGATGAGCATCACTTCCCAGAGTCGGACACGACTAGACTTAATGACAGGGGAAACCTTTACCTTTACCATTATACACATATACGTACATAAATTTCATATGAAGTCATTTACACTAAATTTATGTGATGAGATTTTACAAATGTGTGTGGATATTGGCCCAGTGATAACCACAAATCTTTCTGTCACATATCCACACCAAGAGGCAAAGTAATAAACATTTTGTCTTCCCAGAATTTCCTGTAGATGAGAGAATTTCACTTTATACTGATTGGAAGAGGCAATATCATGTGACAAGAACTTGAGAAAACTGGGAAGGGCTCAGACTTCATGCCAAGTTTTGCAGAAATTCAGAATCTGTTTCTGAGTTGCCCTTGAACTGAAGACCAAAAAAGAAAGTACACTTTCACTTCTGCCATTAGTTAATGCCATTTGTATTGGAAGGTTGAACTCTCCTGCCTCCTAGGAATAGAATCAAGCCAAAAGGGAGACCAAGCACCACCTGCGGAGATCTCACTTTCTTTTCCTTTTGTTTGTCGCCATTAAATGGAATGGCAGAAGTAAGGAGAAAAAGCACTTTGGTCCCATCTATTGGTTAGAGCAGAGCTTTCCCGACATTTCATGTTGGTGACACACTTTTTCGACATACATCATTTTACAACACAGTAATTCGGTTTTACTAGCAAACCAGAGGTTAAACCAACCTCTTATGTAAATTATAATAGCAAAGTGTATGGGGCTACCACATAGCTCATAAAAACCTTTAATTTATATTTTTAAAATATATTATTTGTAAGATAATAACATTCATTTCCAAAGTTTTTGTCATTTCTCATTACATTCATACAACACTCCTGCACACTTCAGGTGACACAATAAGGTGTTGTGACACACAATTTGGAAAGCTCTGAGTTAGAGGAATAAAAATTACTATTTGAGCAAAAATAGCAGCAACAGAGATGTCTCTGTTTCAAGCTACATTTATTGCCCAGTTAATAGCTTACCACCTTATTTTTTTTCCCTTCACGTTTGCTTCCCTGAGCTAATGATAATAATAATAATAATAATAATAAAACTTTATTTGTACCCCGCTACCATCTCCCCAAGGGACTCGGTGCGGCTTACATAAGACCGAGCCCACAATACATCAGCAAAAAACAACAACAACAACAGTAGTACAAAACAATAAAATAAAACTCATAAACAGAAAATAAGCAGTAAACAACAACAATAACACAACAATGTTTTAAAAACGTATGGCTGGGCCAAATGTAATAGTTAAAATTTTAAAAATAATGCTGAGCATGACCAGGTGAAATATAGCCAGGATAGAGCTAATGATAATCCTTTATTTTCTTCTTATGTTTGTTATGCAAATATTAATTCTTTCTTGTTTCCCCATTTTGGCAGGACTTCTGTTTTCTCATGGAACCTTTCTTTTGCCAAATAGATTCTTTGATTCTGTTCTGTAACTGCATTGACACACTCTTTCACTTTGCTGTTACCTTTCCTGCTTTGTCCAGTCCAGATTTTTTAAAACGTCTGTTTTTGTGTTTAATGTTCATTTGCTCTAGAGATTTCACTGTTTTAACCTTCTTTTTAATTTTTAGTGTACCATTTTAGAGATTTTCTCTTTTGAATTTCAGTATGACTCTGCTAGTTTTCCTTGGCAGTTATCCAGTTACATACATGTTGAACTTGATAAGATTTGAGGCAAGATATAACTCTTGGCTTCTCCTTGTGATTTATATCTCAAGGAGAAGCCAGGAATAGTTACCTCACATTACAGAATTACATTATGTGTAATACAAAGCTTTATGTGGGCTTCATAAAAATCAAGATCCCATATACTTCCATTTTAGTTAAAATTGATAAAATCAAATACTTGGATGCAGGAAGTCCCTTGATTCACACTAATTCTGTTATGATTAGTATTAAAATGACTCTGTCTTACAGACTTGGTTTCTTTCTGATACTTCAGCCTAACTCTGGTGAACTGGACCCACTTTATGTGGTTGAAGTCCTCCTGAACTGCAGCAAAGAGAGCCTGAAAAATTCTGCAACAGAGGCAGCAAAACCAGCAAAACCTGAGGAGAAAGGGGAGATGCAGGTAATACGTTTTATTTAAATGTTATTTGTTTGTTCATTTAATGAATTTATTAATTAATGAATTTATATGCAATTTTTCTAATAAGATAGTATTCATAATCACGAGAAGAGAGCAGAAATCATATGGCAATTTTGTGATTGGAGGGTACATTCTGTATTCAGGTTGCCAGGAAATCCTTTCTTTCACCTTTATAAATAGTTGCAAAACTAAAATGGAGTATTTTTACTGGTTGCTTAAAAATCCCCTTTTGCAGGATCAGTAAGAAATGAGGTCGTCAAAAAATCATAAGGATTTGGCTTGCATTTATTTCGTCAATGAAAGGAATGAAGCGCATGGAGGTCAAATAGCCCTTGGCTGCAGCAGCACATGATTGAGCAGTCATCTGGGAATGAGAGACCTGATTTAGAGATGGAGGATGGTCAACAGGAAGCACTAAATCTTAGACTTGTCTAAATTATTACGGGAACTGTAAGCTGTGCTGCTCTCTCACAGTTATGTCAACACAGTGTCAGAACACACAACAGAGCAATAAAAGCTCCTTTTCACTAACAGTGTGGTGAGGCAGCTATCCATCCAAATGAAGTATCAAGGAATCATCAAGTAGTGGGTTGTGCCTGGAGAATTCAGACCATACCAGCAGCATTTGTCTCAGTTTTGGTTGACAGGTCTGAAGAGCAAAGAGAGGGAGTGAAATTCTCATTGCCAGGAATCCCAAATATTATACAGTGGCCTGATAGGTTTTTGAACTGACAAGCTGTTTTGTCGTGTAGTGCATCCACCCTTCACACACAAACGTTCTCATCTCCTGGTGGACAACAGATCCTGCGATGACTTGCATCTGTGAAAAGAGACCATATTCTTGTGATCTCCATCATATCCTTCTCAGCAGAAACACCTTGCTTACATAAAACTGCAAGGTTTTTAAAGATGAACAGTGGAATTATCTGTATATACTCAAGTATAACCCGACCCGAATATACGCCAAGACACCTAATTATTCCACATAAAAACTGGGAAAACGTATTGACTCGAGTATAAGCTGAGGAAATGCAGCAGTTACTGGGAAAAAATTCAAAATAAAAATAGATACCAATAATATTACATTAATGGAGGCATCAGTAGGTTAAATGCTTTTGAATATTTACATAAAACTATAATTTAAGATAAAATTGTCCAACTCTGATTAAACCATTATTCTAACCTCAATGTAAATGTGCTTATGCATCCTTCCAATAATAATAGAGTAAAATAATAAATGTAATGATAACAGTAATAATAGAGTAAATTAATAAATGAAATAATAATAAAAGAGTAAAATAATGGAAATGTAATATCAATAATAGAGTAATATAATAAATGTAATAATAACAATAATAGAGAAAAATACTACATATAATAATAATAATAGAGTAAGACCATATAAATGTAGTAATAATGGTAATAGAGTAAAATAATAGATGTAATAAAATATTAATAATAACATAGTAAAATAATAAATAACCTTGACTCGAGTATAAGCCGAGGGGAGTATATACAGTACATAAAACGGCAAGGTTTTTTAAAATGAACAGTGAAATTATGTGCGTGCCAGTGTGAGTCATCCCTAATTAGAAGGTAACCAATGAATAGAGGAACATTAAAATAGCTGTAGACATGAAGGATGACTGACCAAGAACATAAGGGGAACCATGGTTGATTAGACCAGACGCCTATCTAGTTTACCTAGTACTGTAGCGTTCTGTTCACAAAGTGATCACCCTGCCTTTTCTAATAGAACTTAATCTAAAAATGTCTCATTCTTCTTTCCAAAGCCTACTGAAGGTAAGGGCAATGACATACATTAAAATCGTGCTGTAAAATTCAAGGCTGAGAGCTTATTTTTTATTGCAACTGAACTTTTTGCGGCAGCCAAAGTTGGAAACGCAGTTTGAGCTGATCACAGATCTACTACTTGCTTTTTTTAAATGATTATGTGTCTGTGTGTATGTTTGTGTAAGATCTCTGCAATATTAATAATGTTAGTTGATTTCCTTCTCTAGTATTTCAAATCCTTCAGGTATATGTAGTAATATGATGGAATCCTCAAAGTAATCCATATACAATTAATAGCTTTTTATTCATTGTATTCTAATTTTGTTTCAGGACTTTGTAACATAGCCATAAAAAATATTCACTAGACAGAAACTTCTTCATCCATGGCTAGTCTTGTTTCGTACTCCCACATCCCTCATCTCAGTTGTGGTTATTTTTTTTCTTCTCTAGGAAAAAAAGGAAATGTACAAAATAAAAAGTGATTTGGAACTTTTTGGCTGCAGCTTTCTAGCTAAATTTAATTCCCCTCCCACGATTACCCAAGTTTATAGAAGGCATCATTGTTTAAATCCCAGTTCTGCTTTTCAAAATCCCATTTGCCATATTTTCAGACTGTCTCAGAGAGTCTGTTAAACTATTTGCCAATTTGGCAGACAAAACAATATCATTTTAATGCATCCATTTAATATTCAAGATATTTTCCTTCATTCCAATAAAGAGTTGACATTTTATTCTCTGTCTTTGAAAAATGAGATTTTTGCCATAAGGAAGTGATGCCAGTTGGCCTGATGTTAGGTACATTCTGTCACAGAGCATTGTTTGAAGAAGCAATAATGATAGCAGTGACTCCATTTGGGTCAACAGGAGATTTATCAAATCATGCTGTGTTGTAAATACTAACTCATTCCTTACATTTCATCAGTCCCAGCACAGCCAAAATGAAGCCTACTATTACTTTTGCAGCCTGTCATTTTCCTGCCACAAAGAGCTCAGACTTTATTGAATATTAGTTTCACAATTGCTTTATAAAGTGGGCTACTGTGAGATGGAGTAACTCACTGAAAACTAATCAGTGAGTTCAGTTTATCCATGTGGTTTTACCTCTAGATAATAAGTTCAAGTGTGATGTCATAGCTAGCCCAATTTATCAGTGAACATTTATATATATATATATAGAGAGAGAGAGAGAGAGAGAGAGAGAGAGAGAGAGTCAGGTACTGAGAAGATAAATTTATCACAATAGTGTAACATATGGCCAGGCTTAACATAGTTGTGCTAGAGAAAAATCCTGTGGGTCAAAAGGTCAGCAGTTGGAGCCGGGGTGTGCACCTGCCATTAGCCCCAGCTCACCTGCCCATGTAGCAGGTTGAAAGCAGAAATGCGAGTAGATAAACTAGGTACTGCTTTTAGTGGAGAAGTAATAAAGGTGCCCTTAAGGACATTGATCGGAGGAAAAGCTCCTCGGCATGGAAGATGGAGCGACAGCAGACACACACTCACACACCCCTGGCTGGAGTTGAGCACAACCTCCAAGATGCCAGAAATAAGATGGGAAAACTTCAGTGTACACAAACTTTGTATCAAAGTACCTTCAGGCTGTGTAAGGTGTAAATGGAACCAAGAGGAGCTTCTTGTTTAAACTTGATCCCCATTTCAAGATATTTTATTATGTATGCATGAGCAAATACATGTATTGAAAAATTAGGGTAAAATATACTCCAGAATACTTCTGATCTCAAGGGATACTCAACTTGTACTACATTTTTGTTAGAAAATCTGAAACAGAACAATGGTTTGCTGATACTGCTCACAGTCCTTTGTACAGAAAATGATTTGACTATCCTGCAATCTGAGGGATAGATCCTGTTAGTTCATGCTACATAGAATTGAATGAAACTTGTTGTGCAAGTCCCATTGGTTTCAGTGGACTTGCTTGATTTTCCCTTCCAGTTTCAAGACACTAGGATTTTACCCAGTGGTTCACAAATTGATTCCTACTGATTCCTGTTTTAATAGGTTGTTCCTGTTCTTTTGCATCTTCTGTCAGCAATCAGTAGTGTTCGGCTTTATATACCAAAAGACCTGCGGCCTCTTGATAATAGGCAGAGTGTCCTGAAGTCTATACAGGTAAACGATTCCTGTTGTCCTTTTGTTTTTGAGGAGGAAGGAATTTTGAAAAAAAACAAAACAAAAACATAATGCTTTCAAGTATTTTAAACGTTTGGCTAACGGAAAGTGACTTGCTAGCAAAGGGCAAGGCTTGAGCCATGGAGTTCCACATTCATAGCCTCATCTCTTTACCGTGATATTATGCAACTCCCAAAATATGCAAAATACATTATGTAATAGAGTTTCTTGCTTTATTTTGTTTTGTTTTTGGTGTTTTTGTGCACCCTTAAAGTTTGTATTATTATTATTTTCATTTTAGGAAGTACAAAAACGATTTCCTGATGGCGTTCCTCTGCTGGACCCTATTGACGACATGGGCATTAAAGATCCAGGTCTGAAAAAAGTAATCCAAAAAGTAGAAGCCTTTGAGCACAGAATGTATTCTCATCCACTTCACAATGATTCTAACTTGGAAACTGTGTATAAACTTTGTGAACGAAAAGCACAGGTAAGGTGTAGGTTTAACGTGTGTTTTAATTCTGAGAAGGCTGTGGGTCTGCTGTTTAGTTGTTTCTCAATATACCGTATTGGGGCTTATGGAGAACCCAGAATGCTTGCTTTTTTTGATGATTGCTCCCAGAATCTCCCATTTGACATGGTCACTGGCATAACCAGTTGCTCTTTGAGCAACTGGTCACTTCCTGAACTGCATGCTATAGTCCTGCAAAGGGGCTTTTTACACCAGAAAACTGTTTGCTTGACCAAAATGAACAGTGAAAGATGAGGTAGAAAGTATATCTGCATTTAGAATACTTCTGACATCTCCCTGATTGTGTTTAACTCTAGATTGCTGTAGACATTAAAGCAGCCAAACGGGAACTGAAGAAAGCTAGGACGGTTTTACAAATGGATGAGCTCAAGTGTCGTAAACGGGTTTTGAGAAGGTTGGGTTTTGCAACCTCTTCTGATGTCATAGAGATGAAAGGACGAGTTGCTTGTGAAATTAGCAGGTAAAACATGCTTATACTTTCAAAATACCCAAATACACATGTATGAAAAATACACACATCTTTCCTTTTTATCCGTAACTCATGATATTGGACAATTAAGGAAAATCTCATATGAATATATGCAACAACAAAAAAAAAACCAAGAAAAAGAGGAGAAAAAAACAAAGTTAAAGAAATCCTGTCTAGCATCTTGAATGTGAAAAGGAGCAACATATTAAAACATATAATGATGTTCCTACAAGTCATTGCTGTATCAGTTACGTGGTTTATTTGTTATCGCCTTCATTTATTGATGTACTGTGGGCTTGGCCTCATGTAAGCCGCACCAAGTCCCTTGGGGAGATGGTAGTGGGGTACAAATAAAGTATTATTATTATTATTATTATTATTTGTTGCAGTAGGTGAAAATTCTAGCACAGGGTTCTCAACCTTTGATGCTAACCACCAATTAATTTGTTCTTTTCCAGTGCAGATGAGCTGCTGCTGACGGAAATGATGTTTAATGGGCTATTCAACGATTTATCTGCAGAACAAGCAACGGCTTTACTAAGCTGCTTTGTATTTCAAGAAAATGTAAGTTGTGTAAACTTGATCTGTCTTTAAGAAAGCTCATTGTTTGGATGACTTTTCTTTCTAGTTAAAAGCCTTAGGAGATAGATGGTCCTAGACCTCACAACATTACACAGCCCAACCAAAATATTTTTTCTTGGTGTTTTGGTTTTTAAGCCTGACAGCTACTGGATGGCGTATGTTCTATATCAGGAACTAGAGCTGATGTGGTCCATCCAGTGCAGTTTTCTGAATCAACACCCCAAATAATCAAACCGAATCTAAAATTGACCAAAAACTGATTCATAACCCTTTTGGTACTAATGTTGGAGAGTGGTCCCTGGTCAAAATAGTCCCTGATCAAGTGGTCCTTGGTCAAGTGGTCTCTGGTCAAAAAAGGTTGGGAACCACTGATCTAAATACTAGACCCCTGTTGATGTTGCGTAGGATTCCAGCAGAGTTTGGTGCACACGAGAGAGGTCAACCCTCCTGTTTAAGGAGCTCCATTGGCTGCCGTTTACCTACCGAACCCAATTCAAGGTGCAGTTGCTTACCTACAAAGCCCTAAATGGTTTGGGACCTGCCTACCTGCGTGACCGCATCTCCGTTTACGAACCCACGTGCTCCCTTTGTTCATCTGTAGAGGCCCAGCTCGCGATCCACTTGCGTCGCAGGCGCGTTTGGTGGGGACGAGGGACAGGGCCTTCTCTGTGGTTGCCCCCTGACTCTGGAACACCCTCTCCAAAGACATTAGACTAGCACCCACGTTGGCAGTCTTTAGGAAGAATCTGAAGACCTGGCTATTCCGATGTCCCTTTCCAGAATAGGATAACCTCCAGCACTACATCCCAGAAGCACTTCATTAGAGTTTAAGACTCTCTGCACATTGCACTGCCCAGAAATCCAACATACCACCTGCCACACCCAGCACTTTTTAACCTGTACCCATCACTGGCCCGGCCATGGTTTTTATTGCGTAATGATGTAATGTTTCGTTATTGCTTATGTTTTTAATTTGCTTTAAATTGTATTGTTTTTTGTTTTGCTGTTGTTGTGTTGAGGCCTTGGCCTTTGTAAGCCGCATCGAGTCCTGTGGGAGATGCTAGCGGGGTACAAATAAAGTTTAATAATAATAATAATAATAATAATTACTCCTTCATCTCCTTCAGTGTATATTTCTCTGCACTGTCTCAGGTTCTGCTTCAGAACATCTCCTAAAGTGTTTTTAATGGCGAAATTGAAGGTCGTGCAGCAGGAAGTGGGACACCCAGGAAATATAACAAACTCCCACTGTTTGTATCTGGCTGTTATTTAATAGGAGGGAAATATTTCTTTGAAAGGAAAATAATTCAGAAGAGAAAATATTGAAGTACTTGTGGTTAAATAAATAACACAGTAATAAAGTTCTCATTGGTAACCACAGAGTTCTGTATCGAATGTTCTCTGGAACTTTAAAATAATATTGTGGCACAGAAGGCTTACTTTTTCATATTTTACCTTTGTGCCAAGTGAATGGGTACTAACATACTGAAAACAGGATTAGTATTTTGCTGAAAGGGAAGTTAGATGTCATTGGTTTTTCCCATAATTATTAGCCTCTTATTTTTTTTTAAAAAAAAAAACTTTTCTGGAATGATTAAAAGAACTTGTGAGAACAGTCCAACAAGCAGTGATCCTGTGTGATCCTTACCTGTTTTAGTGACACCGGATACCAGTTGCATAACTTCTAATTTTTGAAAGGAAGAAAACTAAATTGAATGTAAATTAAATGAAATGCATGAAAGTAATTGATATTTTCTTTATCTTTTTGTAGTCCAGTGAAATGCCCAAACTCACAGAACAGTTGGCAGGACCCCTCCGTCAGATGCAGGTGAACTTCAGCAAAAAAACTGGTCAATTAATGTGCAAAGCTTTTGTGTAGAATTTAGACGGGAACAAAGTATTTCTAATTGGAAGTATAAACATAAATTGTTCAGTGCCAATTTTTTTGACATGGAAAATGTTTTCCCAGGTAATGGCTCTCATGGCTTGGGAAAATGCCTCTCCCGCTCAGCAGGCAATTTCCAAAGCCAAGACTTGTACATTACCTTGGTTTCTAAGATACTTCAGAGATAGGAGTGTGGGATGCGCATGCTGGGTGGCCCTCATCTTGGGCATTAGCAAGTGAGTTTATTAGGTGGTTTGAACCACCCACCAATATTGGTTGCTGCTGCCATTTATTGCTATTCTTCTGTAAGTGGCAAGAGAGTCAAATTATATGGGAAAGGTCCTTGTTCCCAAAGGATCCCAGCCATTGTATCAACATCACTCTTCATATCCTATGTGCTAGGCCTGGCATGGGCAAATTTCAGTCCTCCAGGTGCTTTGGACTTCAACTTCCACAATTCCTAACAGCCAGTAGAACAGCCCATGCCAGATCTACATTGCTTAATGAATGCAGTTTGACACCACTGTAACTACCATGGAATCCCGGGGTGGTAGTTCGGCAAGACACCAGCATTTTTTGGCAGAGAAGGCTAAATAAAAACCTTGCAAAGCTACAGGATTCCATGGCATTGAGTCCAAGTGATGTCCAGCAGCATTAATTCTGCAGTATGAAGTTATATTCAAGATCTCCATGTTTGCAAGTGTTGCTGCAGGGGATGTGGCAGCTGCCCAGACCGCTCCCATAATGACTCATGAACACAGCCCTGCCCTCCAGTCAACAGATCTGTGACCTTGGATCCCTCCACAATCTCATGGACTTTTCACCAGCAGAGTATTAAGCTGTGCCAGTTCCCAGCTGAATTCCTGCCTATGTTTGAATGCTGTTAAATAATTTAGATCAGATTTGGTGGGGTGGTGTTTGGAAGATTCCCCTTTCCCAGTTGCACTTTAGGTTTGGTGTTTGAACTGCCACTGATCTGCATGCAAAACGTCCCATTAATCAGAAGTGGTTTTCCTCTGTCATTGACTTTTGAGGATGTGAAAAGATTTGCAGGGCATCAACTCAAGTGTTCCATTCCTCATGTCACGTGTTTCAGGAAGATAATTTCCCCACATATTTTCCTGTTGATTAAAATAAATGTATGCCTCTTATTTTTAAAGGAATGTGCAAAAAGAATTGCTAAAGTATCAGCAGAAGCTAAATTGGAAATTGAGGAGGATACCTATCTCAGTTCTTTTAAACCAAACTTGATGGATGTGGTGCACACATGGGCCAATGGCGCTACATTTGCTCACATATGCAAAATGACAGATGTATTTGAAGGTATGTATATTTGTTACAAAAGTTAATGGAAAAGGACTGTTGAATTGCAGTTGTCATTACCTGTAGTTAGATTACCAGAGAGTTGCATGTCACTAGTTCCTGTTATAATGATTTTCATTCATGGGATTGAGGGACAGCTAGAGTTTGTTTTGCATGACTGAATACAACTCCAGTGTTTAATAAGAAGGAAAGCTGAAAACAATTTATTATCAGTCAGCAGACTGTGAATTAGTTAACTCCTGTGACGAACCGCACTAGGCAAGATAGTATTGATTCTCATCTCCTGCTTCAGTTCTTCCTGCCACTTTCAGGAAAGGTTGTGAGTCCATCTTTCCTGCTTTCCCTGGCAGTATTTCTCTTCTTTCATCTTTCTCCTGCCTCAATGATACATCATTTCAAAAAAAAAATAAATCTTTAGCCTTTAATTTCCTGTATTTGATTTTTCCCCCCACCAGTTCCACCCTTCCTTCCGTCCTTCCTTTATTCCCACCCTCCCTTCCTTCGCCTCTCCTCTTTGCATCTATTTCTCGTATTCTCCCTTGGGATGTGGGGAGCAAAAACAAAGTCCACCAAACCAGACTGTTCTGCCCCAAGATATAACCATTTCACCCATGACACTTACATGCCCCCACTGGGATCCACAAAGACATGCACAAAAGCATCCCTATGGACATGGTGGCCTCCTCCAGAGCTGTCTATGGCAATGAAGCAGATCCTCTTTGTGCCTCCTAATTGTATGTCTGAGGCAGTGCAGTCAGTTTTCATTCAGCCATTAGAAGGTGTTGACCTCCTAGGGAACTGATAGGCTTTTAAGGAGGCTTTTAAGCAGAGGCTAGATGGCCATCTGTCAGGGGTGCTTTGAATGTGATTTTCCTGCTTCTTGGCAGGTGGTTGGACTTGATGTCCTGTGAGTTCTCTTCCAACTCTATGATTCTGTGAACACTAAAGAGAGATTTAAATAAGGAGATGGGAGCTGACTCCAACAGGGATGCTTGCCCTTTCAATTCCTCCAATCCTTGTCCCATTTCTTCTGCAGTACCTCTCAAGACAAAGAGTGTGTACACATGTTGCAGCATCTCAAGGCAACTATTTTTATCTTATGTTATAGATGTCAGCCGTTTCAAGCAAGGCAATAAATACTATTCCTGGTGCAGTGCCTATCCCTTGTTTAATCAGAGTACATGGCTTCGAATTCTCTTGATAATGACAAAGGAATTAAAAAAAATGAACCAACCTCCTCCAACTAATAGTGGTGCCACTAAAAGGATAAAACATGACCCAGCCCTCAGGAAAAAATTGGCTAGCAAGCAGCTTGTGCCAATATGATACTATAGTTTTATGAATGTAGTCTTTGGTAGCTGAGAGATCCACTTTACCTGGAGCTGACACTTCATGCCCCTGTGCTCCCATTCAGGACCCAGATGCTGCTTCTCCCTATATAACATTCCTGAGAGAATTATCTGACTTAGGAGAGGCGGTACTCCTCAGGTATTTCACCAAGTAGTTCTAGTGGCCCTGTCTTGGCCAAAACTCTTTGCTCTGTCTATTCAGATGCACCTAATGCTCCCATCATTTCCTCCTCTTGTTCCTTCCCCTGATTAATTGAAAATCATAAGAGCAAAACAGTAGTGTTGAAGCAGATATTTCTGTGGGTAAAATTGTATCACATAAAGCAGTTTACTCTGCTGAAACTATCCTGTTAGTGCCCTGTGGGAGAATCTTTCTATGTCAGTCCCGCCCCCTGGACATTCTTAAGTCTGATTCATGCCTCCTTTCTAAAGTCTGTTGCAAGCCTTCCTTACAAAAGTAACTACAACTTGCTGTATAACTATCTTACACTGGATCTGTTTGCATGTATGCAATAATAAATTCCATTGAATCTCATAAAACACATTGTAAAATAATAATTATAGGAATGAAACCTTGCTTTTGCTCTTAGTGAGTGCAATATGTATGTATGTATTTAAACAATGTAATTAAGCAAACATACAGTTATGAACACATGTAGAAAAACGGGAATTGCTGCACCTTGCTTCTGTTCTTTCCATTTCATTCATGGTCTCGGCTAGCTTTGTAAAGAAGGCACTTCCTTGTTTTTGCAATAGTCATCCTGAAAGCAATCACCTGAGCAATGACAAAAGCTTTCATTACAAAAGTAACTACGACTAGTAAGAGGCCCTGAAAGTGGTAGAAGATGGGCTTCTCTCCTTTACGCACAGAGAGCACAGGAAAGGATGGGAAGACCATGAGCTTACGCATATGACATTTTGGTGAAAGCACAAAGGAGCGGGGAGTAATGAAGACTCTGCATTTCTCTTGCACATCATCCATCTACTCTGGTTCTGTTTACCCTGATGTCTGCACAAACGCAAGATTCATTGACAGGAATATAGACTTTTGAATATTAATGACCTTGCTTTCTTGCAAATGGTCCTTATCTTTCTGTTGATACTGTTTCCTAACAAGTATGTTTCGATGAAATCAGGTTGTTACCGATTATAGGCAGTCCCCAAGTTACAAACATCCAACTTACAAATGACTCATAGTTACAAAGAGGACAAGACAACAGGAAGTGAGATAAATCTGCCCCTTGGAAGAGAATTTCTCTCCTGAAAGAGTTATCATGGGGAAAAGGTGTCTCCGCTGAAGCTTTATCACCAATCCTTGTTCCCACTAAGCAAGATGGTTCAAAATCCAGTTATCACAGGGACAGAAAGTGATATGAAATCTCACAGCAGAACAAACAGCACAGGGTTTTAACCCTTTCCTATGCTATCCAGGACTCTCATCTCCCCATCCCTCTCTATATATAAATATCTCACACACACAATGTGTATATGTATGTGTGTGTGTGTGTATATATATATGAATGAAGCTACACTTTAAAAATGTGCCTGTTCAGACCTACATACAAATTCAACTTAAGAACAAGCTTACAGAACCCATCTTGTATTGTCAAAGGCTTTCATGGCCAGAATCACTATGAGGTCCTCACAATCTCTGAGGATGCCTGCCATAGAAGCAAGCAAAACATCAGGAGAAAATGCTTCTGGGACATTGCCATACAGTCAGGAAGACTCACAACTACCCAGAACCCATATTGTTTGTACCTTGAGGACTGCTTGTAGTTACATTTCCCCAACTGCTATCACTTTCATTTTGAGAAAGGTATCAGAAAAGCTTGAAGTACAACACAGAAGAATGCTTACGTCACTTTTGACAAGATACACAGTTTATTGGTTGTAGTGAAGCAGACAATCAATCCTGTGGATAGTTGCATTTGCAAATGCCGTATCAAAATAACCCCACACATACCCCATGCATTCCTTCCTCATGCAAGTAGGTAGGGGAAGATGTTGCTCAATAAGGGAACTCTTCAATTCTAGTAAAGAGAACAGAGTTGCTTCATGAGCCAAGTTTCTTGATGTTGAGCGTCAGGAACGGTGGGATAATGAACCCCTGAAAGTTCCCCACAATAGCAATTTCCACTGCTAGGGTAGAAATTATGTAAAACACAGGCAAGGCACTGACCAAAGCAGCGTAACTCCAAACCACCGTCATGCTCATTTTTTGCTAACTCTGTGTAAATGGCACATTCTTATTTCCCAGATAAGCAACTCTTTTAACAAAAATGTAGTTTCCAAAAGACATAAGGAGTAGTAATACTGGTAGAAAGGCACTTTTCTTTGACAGAGTACTTTGAAATGACATTTCAGAGTCCATGGATAAAGAGTCTATAATATTTGGAGGAAGACTGGAAAGTGGAAGTATTGGATGAACCTTCCCAAACTTACTGTTCTTGAAATATGTTGTATTATACTTCTCATTATCCCAGGGCAGTATAAGACAAAATGAAAGTTGTGGTCCAAAGGTCGAGGCTGCTTTAGGTAATTCAGTGGTTTTAGCAGAGGCTGCTTTAATATATAGGTGAAGGGAATACATGCGTTCTGTAGTACGAGCATACATGTGCTAAACTTCTACAGATGGTGACATGCTCTTGATTTGAATTTCATAGCATGCTTCAGAAGCAGAAGCCATCCTGTTCTCCAAAAACCAGTGTTCCTCAAACTATGCTCCTCCAGGTGTTTTGGGCTCCAGCTCCCAGAACTTCAGCTCCTGATTCTCAGACAGCTTAGAAGCCGTTGGGAATTGTCGGAGCTGAAGTCCAAAATACCTGAAGGAGCAGATATGTATTTATTTACAGCATTTATATACTGCTTTTCTCACCCCAAGAGGGACTCAAAGCGGAGAAACACTGCTCCAAATCACAGCACACGGTCTGCCCATGGAGGATACATCCTAACTTATCTTTCGCTGAGGCTGGCTGATTAGACTTCACATCATGGTCATCACATGTAAGATGTGAAGCGAGAGTGAGTGGACACAGGGCTTGATGTACAGTTCTCCAGCCACGTTTGAAAGAAAAGTGCAGCTTCTTCTAACGTGTGCATACTAGAAATAGAAGCAGGCCCATAAGAAATGAAGAATGTCTTTTCCCCTCCTCATTTCTCATTATGGAGTCAACTGACTACATGCTAAATACTGTAGCATATATTTTCTAACAACTAGCACATTTAAGGATTCTTGCCACGTTTTCTCACAAAGGGTTACTCAGATGTCAAAGCAAGAAAGATAAAAATCAAGCCAATGCCTTTGAGTGGAGGATAATTCACTTGAGCCCACCCTTTCTCAAAACATGTATTTGAGGAAAAACTAAATACCCAACAAGTATACAACACTGCCATTCCGATATAACATTGATGCTTTTTTTTACTTCCAACAAGTCAACCTCTGACAGTCCTTTGGCTCATGTTTAAGACAAGGGTTGGGTAAGCTGCATGCCTTTTTAGAAGGAAGAGTCAGCCAGTCGAGAGGAAGACTGAAAAGTTATTTATAGAGCTTGTCAAAGGGAACAGTAATGCTGATACTACTGATAATCAAGGAATACATATAATCTTATGATTCATCCAAAGCCTTGCTTTGCTCTTGCAGGAAGCATCATTCGATGCATGAGGAGGCTGGAAGAGTTGCTTCGACAAATGTGCCAGGCAGCAAAGGCCATTGGAAACACAGAACTGGAGAACAAATTTGCAGAAGGTTTGTATTAACAGTATTTTATAAATGCATGCATCTTAAAGTGAAAGCTGTTTACAATCCTTTAAATTTCTTGGTGCCAAACCAAAATGTTCCCCTTCATCTGAATGTAGATCCCATGGACCTCTTTTTACCTTCTGCTCTCTAGTTCTTTTACAAAGTAGGTAATTTGGAGCAGGCTTGTTTTCTGCTGCCCTGGAAACTTGGACTTGGAGTAATGGGTTTAAATTACAGAAAAGGAGATTCCATCTGAACATTAGGAAGAATTTCCTGACTGTAAGAACTTTTCAGCAGTGGAACTTACTGCCTTGGAGTGTGATGGAAGCTCCTTCCTTGAAAGCTTTTAAACAGAGGCTGGATGGCCACCTGTCAGGTGTACTTTGCTCGTCCTTTTCCTGCATGGCAGGAGGCTGGACTAGATGGCCCATGTGGTCTCTTCCAATTCTATGATTCTATGATAATTGGAAGATCTTTAATGTTGCCACAATCCCATCAAAATAGCGCCTATAGGTTTTTTCTGGGAAACTGGGGAGAAATCACACATTTTGAATATTCGATACTGACCTTTAAACATGTATAGTTGACTACACCCCTTATCACTATTAGTGTTAACTGCAAGGCTGCAGCTGCCCTTATGACTGGATTTTGTTTTACCCTCAACAGGCATTACCAAAATCAAGAGAGACATTGTATTTGCTGCAAGCCTTTACCTGTAAGAGGTGTTTTCCTGAAGTGGTGTAGCTAAAGAACTTGCATCTATTCTGCAACTGAGGCTTCAGTATACAACCATGAAGTAGATGTTAACCATCAAGGCTACCATTCCTTCATCTTCAAGCAAGAACAGCTGCTTAGTGTCATTACTTGTATGTATTTTGCTGTAAGCCTCATGCTAGCAAAGCATTTTACATATGCTATTGCTATTTGTACATAAGTATTACCACATTATTTTAATTAAAAAAAAAGCTAGAGTACTGTGTTTTTAAAGCAAAAGCTCAACCAACAGAAATTTGGAAGTTTTTAGATACACAATTGTTACTATATACAAGTAAAGTGAGCATCCAAGAGGTATAGCAGCAGCAGTCCCTTCAAAAGGCATTTAATTTATTTTTGTACATAGGCCAAGAAAGACGGGTGAATTTTTCCTTTTCGAGATTCCACAGGCTAATAGCTCTTGAATCTATCATGGCTGGTGATTACTACCATAGTGATTCCCATTGGTAGGTGTCTCGTGTAAAGTTGTGTGTGAATCCTCTTCTTCCTTCTGTTTGAACGCACGGCCTCTCTCTTTGAAGAAATCAGATGCAAACACAGCCTAGGGAGAAAGATTGGACAATATCAGGCATCAGAAAACAAACTTTCAGAATAAGCAAAACTCAATTACTTATTCCCTTTGCATGAGACTTCAGGCACTTCACCCAATTGCTGCCAGAGAGGATAAGAAATAATAACACTTTATTTATATTCTGCTGTATCTTTCCAAGCGGAGTCAGAGCAGATGACAAGATACACAGATAGGCAAAAATTCAGTGCCTTTAATACAGTGGGATAACAATGACATATTAATACACAGAACAAAGTAAAGGCTTCCCTTTCATCTCTGGCTTTCTGGAGGTGGTGCTCAACTCTGGCCATGGGGAGGTGCTCTTGTTCCATTTCCAAGCTGAAGAGCCTGCTGTCCATAGACACCTTCAGGTCATGTTGCTGGCATGGCTGCATGGGTGCCTTTATTACCTTCCCGTGGTATCTATAGATATACTCGCATCTGTAGCTAGAGCTAACAGCTAGGAGCTCACCCGACCCACTGTTTTGAACTGCCAACCTTTATGTTAGCAGATTCAACAGGTCAGTGGCTAAACCCGTTGCACCACCATGGTCCAAGTATTGCCAGAAATAGCCTGGCAATAGCAACATGGGCTCTATGGCCAACTGAAGGGGCTCTCTGCTTAAATGGACGTAATGTTTTGTTACTGTCCTGGATATATACAAACTCTGCCAATTGCTTGAGGCAATAGAAATGCTGACATGAATATGTGGGATAAGAAAATGCATGTTGAGAGGCAAGCATTTATTCAGAAAATATGGAGTTTCTCTCCTTTCTCCCTTCCCCAACACCTTCTAAACCAGTTAACATTATCTTTGTGTCATCATAATCAGCTTGTCCTTGATCCCATATTTTCCATAGCATATGCTAGACATTTCCTAAAGGCTTGTGCATATTTACAATCTTGTCCCTCACCATATTCTTACTTATTTTACACTTAACCAATTATCCATGTGCATTTCATCTGTGGAATTTTACAACTCTTTTAAAATGCTTCAGAGGTCAAACTTCTTAAGCAAGCCTTAATTGTATTAATCGCGTGTAGGCGGATTTCTCCAAACCTGACCGGAATCAGCATTTTAGAGGGTCACTTCAGGGCTTACCAGGAACTTTTTGCAGGAAAGCTACATCAGTGGCTTCTCTTCCCTCCATTAGAGGCATGCTGAATAAGAGCCTACATGGCACTTTTATTCTCTTCTAACTCCCACTCCGTGCTACAACTATCCAAGCCAACTTGAGGTATTTAGAAAAGGTTGTGAAGTAAATTAATTTGGTTGCAAGTAAAATTGTTTGAATAGTAAAGCAATTCTATATTGACTTACAATAAGTATAGCTACCAATGCTCCTTGGATAAGTCCAGTCAGTACATCACTCCAGTGATGTTTATAATCAGAAACACGGGAAAGACCCACATAGATGGATGATGCAATGAGCCCAAACTGTACTGTGGGGCGCAGAAGTCTTGCCCAGTCACCTTTCATTCGGGCTTGAAGATAAAGCTGAAATCCAAAAGATAGATGTTGGAACAGTAGCAGATTTACCTCTTTCGGAAATATATCCTTTCTGACAAAGCCTAAATAGAATTTCTGGTTGTGCAATAATACATAGAACTTCATAATTAACTGGCAAAACAAAATTTACTGCACTTCACATAAACCTATTAAGAGAATAACAATTTAGCAAAGTTAGATTATGATCTGCCTAGTTTTACAGATGTCATCTAAGAATTTTGCAAAATGGGTTAGAATTTTTATATGGACTGTTGGCCACCTTTTCAGACTCCAATTTTGTAGAACATATTATATAGTACAGTGAATAGTTATGTTTACTCAAGCTTACTTAATTGGTAGCTATGGTCTTAACTCAAGTAATAATCCAGTAATTTGTGAGTAGTAATATTCTTGCTTATTACACTGGAATTCTAGAATGCAATGCCAAGGCTATTTTTAGGGACCCAAATCCATCACAAGAGTACAAAATATTTATTTAAAATGCCTACCATTTCACCTAGACTGGGTGGGTTAGGATCCTGCCACTTTCTTGTCCTCCCTGCCTACTTCACACATATAAAAACACAATATTTTTGGCCACACAATTAAGAAAAACACAGTATGACCCCAATACCCATAGAACTGGTACCCACAGTTTCACCTACTCCATTTGACAAAATATGTCCTCTCTAAGTATTTTCTGGGTCCTCCAGGCAATTCTGTGGTATGCTTCAATACGAAGTTGCCATGGAACCATATTGGGAGGACCTAGCAATTATTCAAAGTCCCCCAACGTGAATCTGTAGTAACTTGTAGTGGAAGTTGCTCATTTCAGTGGTGTCTGCTATTATCCACACTTTTCTGTTTCCACAGTAAGTTCAGGAATGCAAATATAGAAGGCTTTACTATAATATTAACTTACAGATTGAAAAAAAGGTCTCCCCCTAGGCATAAACCAGCCTGTGGGGAATTTTCCATGGTGGTGGTGGGGCACTTTCAGGGAAGGTGGCATAGCCTCTGGCTCATATGAAGTTGAATTCATGAAATATTAAAGAGTGGCTTGTCAAACAGTTCAAAAATGCATAGCAAAATATTACTGAAATTACAATGTTGGCAAGTAAAGTGCAGCATGTAGGTTTAAACACTTGGAGAATGAAAAAGCCCTTGCCTGGTTTTAAAATGAAAGAAATACTGAGTTTGTGAAAATTGGGTAGCACCCATCCCTGCCTCTGTCTTTAATGCCTAGAATTCCTGAAGGATAACCTCAAAAGGTTATGCTGTTATACAGACAGGTTTGCATGGTGAGAGTAGTTTGTCAGGTCTCTATCTTGGACTTGGAAAAGCAATCAACAGCATTTTTGAACTGTACTCACAGAAACAGAAGGAGCCAATACTATTGTTTAAATAGTGGCAAAATGTGTTCTATCCTGGTCTCAACACAGTTGCATTATGAGTTTTCACACAATGTTCAAAGTCATTCTCACATATGACACATTGTAGTCATTTAATCCGAAGGTTGCCAAGAGTTTTTTTTAGTAGTGACCAGTCTATGGCACAAAGTTACTGGGCAAATGACACTGCAGGAAATAAGTAGCTTCACGAACTGAATTTGCAATTTTAACATCTGGAAAATTCATTTATTTATTTCATACACTTGTACGGCCTCACAACAGGGCGGCCTCACAACAAGCACCATTCAGTGCCATCACAATCATAAAAACATTCAACAAATTCATTAAAACAACATTAAACAGTTGTTAAAATGCGCCAGTTAAAGCCAAAGTCCAGGTCAGTTCATTGTCGCTTCAAATTGCTTATGTCTTCTTCTCACTTGCCGCTATTCAATGATCAAGTGCTTGGTCCCACAACCAAGTCTTGAGTTTCCTTCTAAAGGACAGGAGGGAGATGGCCAATCAAATAATATTTCAGTTTTAGTTGGACTATGTTCCTCTAATAGATCTCAGTGGTTAATTCCTGATCCTAGATTGTTTCCATTATCTCAAGTGAATTTGTCTTTAAATTTACCTTTACTCACTTCTGACATAATAGATAAATAAATAACCTTTAAAATCAAAATATAGTTGGCTTTGCTAGGAATACACTGCCAGATACTTGTGTTGTGAATGCCCAACCAACCATCTTGTGTAACTAGATTGTCCAATTATGAATGTAACAACAGCAACATGGTACCACCTTTCATCTCTAAAAGCCTAAAGGAAGACTTTTCAACAGTACCAACAATTCTAAAAATCGCCTGTCTCAGAGGTTGTGGAGTCTCCTTTGGCAATCTTCAAATGGCCATCTTCTGAGAGATGTGTATTCCTGCATATCAGGAAGTGGACTAAATGCCCTTGCAATCCCTTCCAGCTCTGTTATTCTAGGTATTTACACCCACAATATAGTTCCTGTCAACATGATAAAGACATTTGCGCAAAAATGATAGATCCCTGTGATTTTAAAGAAACCTGAACTGACTAGCAGGCAAGTCCCATCCTCCTTCCTCCTGGTTTCAAGCCCTTTTGAGGAACTGAAAGCATCAGTGGGCCTGAATCAGTGAAAAGGGGAACAACCACACCACTTAAATATCTCCAGAGGCAGAACTCCCCACTTTCAGAAACGGGCTTTGGGGATCAAAGGTTTCTGAAGATTTCACCCCCACTACTCAGGCTATGCATGTCCCACACAAGCCAGAAGACTTCCAGATCTTTTATAGGAGAACCTCACAACCCCCTCCCTTTAAGATGCTCAGATCTGTGCCCTCTCATAAGGAGGCATTCACTATATTCTGGACACAGTCTGGTAAATCCCACCCAGCTGGAAGTTACGAGCCATAAGAGGCAGACATACCAGGAACAAACTGTACTTCACCAAACACCTTATTCAAGGCTTCAGGCCTTAAGAACTAAAATTCATGCAGCAAAACTGAATGGTACTCTAGTTACATCTGTGAACCACAGAAACATAGATGTAATAACACCACCATCTAAGATGACAAGCTAACAAGTGGACTTTATGGGATGCCAGCAGTGGTTCACACTTCCATAGGCAACTTCAAAAACTTTGTGTACCTCCTAGGATTATTTGGGTTGTATAAATGGATACACAGAGAAACACTCTATTTAAGAAATAGGTGCTATTTTCCAAAGTTAAATATTTGGGGAATGCCTAATCGGTTTTTCAAAGCAGGATTACATCACAGTTTTGGCATGCACCTCTTCCATTTTGCTATTAAAAGTTTGTCTGAAATTTAATGTGGGTAAGGAGCAAGTCTTTGCAAAGCAGGTAGTAGACTGAAGCTGTACTCCAGGTATGTTTTGTTTCCACAAATGCAGTTCAGGATTCTGAAGCATGTTTTAAAAGATGCATGCACATCTTTTAAAATATGCGTGCATTCAACTCCAACAACAAGGGGTAAGTAAGCCTACTACTATTTAACCAAAAGAGTTCAACATAGTAAAGCTACGGAGAACAGTTCCAAGCCAACTGCCGTGTTTTCTCAAGGCCTGTTTGTGACTAACCTCCACACCAATGCAAATCATTTCTCCCCAGTGAGAACCCGAGCCAGGAGTCGTGCTGGTGGTCTAAAGACAGCAGCCTGGCAATCCAGTGCTGGCATATTTCCCTTTTTCCAGCTTACAAATTCCACCGAAGAGCCTGAAAAACTACATTACTTGGCTAATATTTTTTGCACGCAAGGAATTGCTGTAGTTGGCACAGGGACTTTATACATGTAGGAGGGAAGGTGGTATGTGCGGTTATGAGTGGGAGAGAAGGTGGGATCTTAAGACAGTCACTTAGAAAAATTGTGGCCCATGTTTGAGGGCCTGGGACAGGGATCCAGGTGATAGGATTTCATGCTGCTTGCCAATATGTCAGAGTTGAATGAATGATTAAAAGGTTTTGTTTGAACCTCCCTGCAGCAGAAAATTATTTAGGACTCTACGCTATGAAGGCAAAACAGGAAACCCAGGCTTGATGTTTATTCATGGCTTTTATTTCCACATTAAGAACTTAGGTATTAGCCACAGCTGTTTAAGACGTAGAGCTAAGTTCTAATGAGATGTATAGGAGGCACAGACTGAGCTGTGTTTGTTTTACCAACAAGAGCATCAGTTGCTGTGTTCATCTTTAAAAGAATGTGAAGAGAAGCCAAATGCTCGCCCCTCTTGTTAGGCCACAACTGGTGTAAGTTTTCAAACTGCATCTGCTAGCTGTGCCAGTGCAGACTGAAGTGTCTGAACAAGAACTGGTAAGTCTAGCTTTTCAAACCAAAGACAACTTTCTTCAGAGTAGCTACTATTGCCATTTGTTAACCCAGGCATATTTTCATTTTCCATGCCTATGGCTGTCTAATCAAATGCACCAGGAAACTTCTCAATTTAGATGTCACGGCTGGATGTTGTTCGGTATAAATTTGAAACTCAAAAGCAGGCGAAAATGCTGGCACCCATCCAATCACCACAAGGAATAAGTATGGAATAGAAACTGCTACCTGAACCTACCATAATATAGCGAGGAAGGCTATGTCAAGCCAGGTTATACATTAATGATCACCTGCCTTCTGGTGACATCTTGAAAGGTACTATTTAACAGCACTCTATTAATTGAGTGCATAGTTAAGTGCATAATTAAAGCAATGGTATTCCCCGTAGTAACCTGTGGATATGAGAGCTGGACCATAAGGAAGGCTGAGCGATGGAAGATAGATGCTTTTGAACTGTGGTGTTGGGAGAAAATTCTGAGAGTGCCTTGGACTGAAAGAAGATCCAACCAGTCCATACTTCAGGAAATAAAGCCCGACTGCTCATTGGAGGGAAGGATATTATAGTCAAAGATGATATACTTTGTCCACATAATGCGAAGACAGGAAAGCTAGGAGAAGATAATGATGCTGGGGAAAATGGAAGGAAAAGAGGGGCCGACCAAGGGCAAGATGGATGGGTGGTTTCCTTGAAGTGTCTGACTTGACCTTGAAGGAGCTGGGGGTGGCAATGGCCCACAGGGAACCTTGGCGTGGGCTGGTCTATGAGGTCACAAAGAGTCAAAAGCGACTGAACGATTAAACAACAAATTAACTGAGGGCATGATGTAACAAGTTTCTCACTTGCTGCCAATGGCAAGAGGAAAAGCTCATTATATATGATAAATGCTCACAAGAATGAGAAAGTTTGGGGAGGGAAGGCTGCCAAAGAGATGCTATCACCAAGGGCACCTCTAACACATTCTGATTCTCAGTAAAAGAAGGAAGGCAAACAATGATTTTTGTAAACTAACAGCATGGTAAGCAACTTTACTCTTCAGACGTTTGGCTCTCCTCTGAAGAGTGTCCTTTAGATACCAGATGTGTTTGCCTTTGGTGGTCTTCTTTTAAAAGTGCTTTTAATTTCCTAACTTGAAGCACACCCACAGTTCCCTTCTAGGTGTGTTTACAGAACGTGGTTAAACCTTTCATTCATAATGAAAATGCAGTCTCTTGGCCACATATATCCTGAGCACAGCATTCCACCCACTTTCTGGTCAAATGCTCCATTTCTCCCACTGAAAGTTCAACATGTATCCCCTTCAGAAGAAGCCACAGACACAAGCAGAAATACTTTTTCAAGTAGAGAATGATTTGCTATTATAAAGGCATTGGTAAGCATCACAGTGAGCAGATGCAGCCGTTAAAAGGGTATTTGGAACCACTAGAGACTCTAACGAAAAAAGGAGTAACAGTAAGCAAGTAATTATTTTTAGCTATTGGAAAAGTTTGACTTTTTCTCCAAATGTTCGTTTGCAGCAGATATCACACAACCTTGTCCTGAGAGCATAGTTTAATTACTTGGGCCCCATCTACAGTGCCAAGTGATCTATATAAATAAAAATGTAAATGTCAGTTTGTGAATGACCTCAAAACTCCCAAAATACTTCACTGATTGCTGCGAAATGTGGACACAACATAGCATTCGAACAGGTGAATGTTTTTATTTATGCACATACCTATTATATGGATGTCACACCTGTGACAGGTAAAAACATGCTTGGCATCAAAAACAGTGCCATCTGCTGGATGTCTAAGCAACACACCACAAAGCGACCCCGTCAGGGTGAGAGCCACTGTTAGAGATCCGCAGCCAGGTCACCCTCACCAAGCCTGCCTGCCCGCCTCCATCTGGAGCAGAACGGAAGAAGAGCAGGAAAAGGGCAGTGAAGCAGGTAGGGAAATCCAGGCCAGGGAGAGGGGTGGGGCACGGGCCCAAGAGGGGGAGGGAAGGAAGCAGACAAGGAGGTAGGCCCAGTCCAAGCCCCGGCCTCCCATAGCCTCACACCCTGGCTGGCCTTGCCCGGCACCGCCTCACGCCCATGCTTCCAGGAAGACTGGAGGTTCAGAAGGAAGGACTGAATAGTAGGAAGGGAGAGATAGATAGGAGGGAAGGAAAGGAAAGGGTTTCCCCAAAACACACTGATGGTTATTACATAGACCAGTATCATTGTTATTATCTTTATAATACACACCAGTATTATTACATAGATTATAAAGGCCAGTATTATTATTATTTACACTATTAGTATTTCACAGACAATGGAACAACAAAAAATGCTGCATACCCACAAGCATTATGAAATTACATATATTAGAAACCATCTCTTTCTTTTTTCTTTCTTTTCCATTTAATCAGACTGGGCCACAGCAACACATGGCCGGGTACAGCTAGTAAAATATAAAACTGTATTATATGGTCAATGTAGATTCATATGATGCAGTTCAGTACAATTAAACTGCATTATATGAGTTTACACTGACCTTATAATGCATCATATGTCACTGTAGATGGGGCCTTGGCCTCCCAAACCTTATCTCCTCTATGAAGCATCTTCTTATACAGACAAAGGAAATGAAACGTATATCATCCCCTGTATAACAAAAGGAAGTACCCTTCTTCATGCATTAAGACACCCTCATTAAGATCACAGAAGTATTCAAAGCAATAATGTAGTGCAAGATGTGGTTATTTACATGGAAACAAGTCTCCAGAACGTTCTGGCATTTTCTACCAAAGTGGTGATTTGTATGTGGTATGAGATTTTGGGACTGGCACACAATCCCTTACAGTACGTGACATGCAAAGTTCTACTTTTTCAAGTTATAGTTCAAAATCAGAAACAGAACAACCCTTTTTCTAAGCTCTGCTTTAGAAGTGGTTGGCTTTTTTGTGCATGTTTCTGAGAAACAGCCATACAATCGCATGCTTTGGAACAAAAACTGACTGAATTTTAGGACTCTGAAAACTAGAAACCACATTGTATACATGTTTACTCATTACACAAACACCAGCCAATGTTTCATTTGGAATTCCCCCCCCCCCCCAAATTAATTGTTCTACATTTCTAACGTAGTCTACTAAATGACAATACTTCAAAAGGAAAGTACATGTCCTTGGGAACTACAATATAGGGAAGCAGGTATGGCATTCAGCTGAAAGATTTACCATGTGTCATATTTTCATTTTGACATTTCTCAGTAGAAGTTAAGCCACTGCATTTCTAGGCTCTTTATAACACATACAAAAAAGCTGAAATTCTCAAGTTAATGTATTAGAATCTATACTAATTAAATTATGTCCTGCTGCTTGCAACCACCTCAGAGTCATATTTACCTCTGAGAACCCTTATGATTCATGAGTGTATCTTGCACAATGACAGCAAGAGCAGGTAATGCCTGCCAAGTCATATCCTTTATTAATAAAGTGAGACATATGCAACTATATAATGTACACAGCAGCTTTGTCTACAGCAAGATAATTGTCAAAATAGTTTCCACCATTTGCACCACGTTCGAATCCACTCATCAAATTCACTTTGGAAAAACTCTTTTGGGCAGTCCCTGGGCCAAGGGCTGATAGCATTTTATATTTTATCTACATCACTGAAGCGCCATGCCCAAGGGATCCCTGGCCACCTTCCAGAAAGACTTAAAGACTTGGATGTTCATCTGTGCCTTTGGATAATGCAAGAGCCTGTGATGCTGTCACATAAATGTGGAGCCATTTATTTATTTATTTCCAACATTTCTACCCTGTCTTTCACAACCCCCCAAGGGGGACTCAGGGCGGCTAGAAACGGCAGCAATTCGATGCCGACAACATGCAAACGCATTGCATACAACATTATACAAAAGATAAAACATTAGATTAAAATACATATAAAACATTATTTATCATATAGCCGAATCCATGTCTGATTTAGCAACCGATGACCCAGTCCAAAGCCTGTTATATAGTCAAAGCCAAATTCCAACATTATGATTACTGCCAAACCTACTGTCCGAAAGCCTGGTCCCAAAATCATGTTTTGAGCTTATTTCTAAAAGAGAGGAGGGATGGAGCCAACCTAATTTTGCTAGGGAGAGCATTCCACAGATGGGGGGCCACCACCGAGAAGGCCCTGTCCCTCGTCCCCACCAAACACACTTGCGAAAAGGATGGGACCGAGAGAAGGCCTTCCTGCAGAATCTTACATTCTGAGGAGGGATGTAGAGGGACATACGTTCGGACAGGTAAGCTGGGCCGGAACTGTATAGGGCTTTATAGGCCAAAACCAGCACTTTGAATTGTGCTCGGAAGTGGACTGGCAGCCAGTGGAGCTGACATAGCAGAGGGAGCCATGCATTATAAAGGTAGGTTGTATCTATCTGTTTCTGTTGTCTTTTCTTACAGATGGCTTACTGAAGCGATTGCATGTGACAGACATGCAATAATGCATATTTCATGTCTGTCACGTGAAATATTGTATATTTCATGTGACAGACATGAAATATACAATATTTTCCTACATGGTGGTGCTTTCCCTTATGGAAAGGAGTTAGTGAAGCTGTCTTCTGGTGCTTTAAGAGCCTGTCTTACCACATCTTTCATTCTGTGAACAGCACATGTT